AAAGAGCTTTCAATGCAAAATCTTTCTAAAGTGTTTGTGGAGAAACGCCTGGGCAGTAACGTTCTTGCATTCTGGTGTACGTCTGTTCCTTTAGGTCTGCTTTTTGTGAATTGTCTTGGTTTCACTGCATTGGAAAGCTCTAGTTGTGTGAGAAGGTCCTGTACCTGAGGGAAATAGAATAGCCTTTCTTTTAGAAAGAATGAACAGATAAACCATGAAAACCCCTCCAAGAATTGAAGTTTAAGATAACTTTGAAAACTTCAAGCCTGAAGGATGAAGACTTAAGTTGTGCAGCATTTAGGGAGTGGAAATTCCAATTTGTGGTCATCTTTTATGTTCTCTTTTCAACCTGAACGTCTTCGTTTTGATCTTTTCCTGCAACTGAAATAAACAACTCTCTTCCTCCCCTTCCTCCCGCTAGATCTCCGTTTCCTTTAAAGTACTCGTGTTAGTTCTTTATCAGAATGAACTGTTAACAAACTTTTATTTAAGAACATTTTTGTACTTGAACGCTTGGCAGAAAAATTCATGGTTGAGAAGCTGTGCTAGGTGTATTCACATGCTCCTCTGTTAACAAAGAAATGTACTGGGAAGTTGTTAAAATGATTTACAGTTAAAAGAGAGAAGGGAGTAGCTCTTTCCTTCCCTAGAAAGCAATAGGACACAAAGTAATGAAGAGTAAGTTATTGGCTTCATGTAGTGTTATGAAGAAAAGCTGACTCCTCTGCTGTTCTGCAAAATAATGCTTTATCTGGGCTGACTTTTATAGCTTTCCAGCATTCAGCTCGAGTCACAGGCAGATGGGCACTGTACTCAGAAATAAGGTCCCAGTCCATGGAGCGTATGACTTGTTGCCTTCCCTGGGTTTAGGGGCTGCCATTTCTTCAAACTAGGGCAGGGAAGACATTTGTCTGATACGGGAGAACAGCTTACTGCATGAGGTGTGACACACAGCTTTCCTAAAAGTAGGAAGGGCAATGTGTACTTGACTGAAGTCCAAGCACCTGTAGAGTCAACGTTGGAATTTCACGCTGTGGATCTCTGGGAACTCGACTAACGTTTCAGAGCAATTGGTGAGTTAGTCATAGCACCCTGCGATGACTTCTTGCCTTGCTTTCTGACTAAGCAGAGGAGCTTGTGAAGGCACAGCACGCCAGTGGTGGTGGCACCACGGAGCTCTTGTTGCTGGTGGGTTCTGCAAGCACTACATGAGCAACATTAGGATGCTGCATGTACTATCTTGAGAGCTGGGAGTTCTTGATCATTGCTAGAGACTACTTGGGGGTGTGGTATTTCTGCTTAGTGTCTTCTGTGTGCACTTGGTGTGGTGCAACTGCCTTAACTATGTGCAATGAGATGGATGTAATCTTAAAGAAAGCTCTAAGCTAAGTTCAGCCTCATCTCTAAAGGATAAGAAGTTGTATTGAGTTATGCACAAGTTATACTGTGATCAATATTGCCCCAAATGTAGATGTGCCCAGCCAAAATAAATAATCTCCATAAGGTGGCTTTTGTTTGCAGGCAAAGGGTGGAGGTTTCAATAAGGAAAAAGTGGTTAATTGCTTCATTTTATCTACGTTCATCAGGCAGAACTGGAACAGCTATTCTGCAAAAGCAGAAGTTTTAGATTGAAATAAAAAAAGATGGTTAAATAACTTGTCAGTGGTTTCCAATAAGTAATCATTAGTATAGGATCTCTCATTATCAGTGTCGAAGAGGAGGAACCTGTTCTGAGGTATAAATGTGCCAAGAGAGGAAAAAAATCACGTTCAATGACTCTGACCTCTTGAAACTGAGGAAAATTGAAGAAAAACTTTGAAAGCAGGTGGAATTACTTCACATTTATATTCCTGGAGTGCTAATACACCTAGCACAAGTGAAGGTGGCTACTCCTGGGTGTGCTGGTGAGGCAGGGCTGTCTGCTGGCAGGGGGCTGTGGGGCACTCCAACCTTTTGAACTTCAATTGGGATGGTGAGAGAAACAGGGTATCAATCCGTCCATCTGTCTAGCAGTGCTGGATTCACTACTGGCCTTGAGCTTAAGGACCTGCTGGCAGGTTGCTGAGGTTGTCCTCTGAGTACATTTTGCGTAGGAGATACAAAAGTAACCCAAGTGTCACTTATCTCCTAGCTGGAGCTTCTAGTTTTCTCACTTCTGTTTTTAAGAAACTATTGAAGCAACTGGGTGAACTTCTGTAATTGGTGTGGCTTGCTTCTTGCGTTTGAGCAGCAGTTAGTTTTGCTAGCACACAACTCACAAGGTGTAGTTGTTTGTCCTGCTACCAGCTATGCAACTTCTACTCCCAGAGCTCTGTAGCGTTTGAAGCAAGAAATGTGGTTGAACTTTGCTGTTCTCTGAAAGGTGTGTCTAGAACTTTTATTACATATTCATGGACGTTTTGAAATGCAGGAAGTAGAAATGCAATAAAATTACTACTGATCGGTCATTTCCCAAAGAAATCTTTGAGACTGTAACATGTAGTCTTTAGTTGTGTAATTTAATAAAAATAAATTAAACTTCTCTACAGGCACTTAATTAAAACTTTGTCAGCTCTAATAATCTATTTAGATGCAGCAGCTTTTTGGTGTGGTTACTAGGTGGTGTGGCAAGCGCAATGGAAAGATGTTCTCATCTGTCCAGCTCAGTTTTTATTTATATACATTTTGTGGTGTTTATACATACAATGGGTATGGCTGCAAATGCGTTAAAATATTTGACCAAAGACCACATAGCCAAATCTGACTCCTGTGAACGGCTCTGGGCTGTTGGCAGGATAAAGCTCAGTAGATGGCATCCTTGGGGGAGAAGAGCTCACCTGGAGCCTGGGCAAGGTGATTTTCTCCCTGTTCCTTGTACCCATGCACTTGGGGCTCTGCTGGAGGTGCATGTCGACATCCACAAATGGTGAGCACGGAATTTAGAAGATTTCTTGACTCACTGAAATGTGAGGAGGGAGGGATAGTCAGCCTCTGTTTTCAACTTTGAGTTAATCTGCAGCAAATTTAGACCTTTCTCTACAGCTATTGGGACTGATGGTTTCCTGTTGTAGTCTGCTCTTTACTCAAGATCTCTGGCTGTCGGACACTGGTGCTGTGTCCTGTTCTTCATTTCTCTTCTCTGACCTTTTGTCTACTGAAAGTGAAAGACTATAGAAGCTACCCCAGGTACTGCAATTTTTTTTGAGCCAATGTATAGACCTTCAGACATAAACAGTTACAGTGCCCTTCCAGGCTGCAGGTTGTCTACTTTCCCAAGTAAGCAATAATATGGAATTAAGGTAACTCTTTACAGTTTTGCTGCTATGCAGAGGGTTTTGAATAACAGGAATGTAATTAATTAGCATTTTTTGATCCTCAAATCCAAGGCATATTATTATCCTTCCTTGATCCTCACAAGGAAGAAAAGTTTTTTTTTTCTTTTTTTTTTCAGATAATGGATAAAATCGTAGTGCAGATATTCAGCTTGCATTTTAAGCGTGCATTAGCTTGTCTAAACAGTATGAGGATAATCATGCCCCCCTTTTTACAAGCTGTTTGTCTGATCAGAGTGGAATATGAAATCACTAGATACAGAAATAAAGCTAGTCTTCCATCTCACCTGGAAAAAGTCACCTTCTGATTCTAGTAGTAGGGTCTTTTTTATTTTATTTTTTTGGTTATAATTTTGTCTAGTTGCATCTGCAGTTTTCTTCAGAAATTCCACCTGAAGGGCTTTTCCTGTCTATAGGTATTATCTCCTGTATATAATGGTATACCCAAGAGAAAATAGTTGTCTGAACTGCAATTAGGCGTTTTGGATTCTAAAACAGGAATATCTTGCTCTGCTTTGCAGTGTTGCCTAGAGGATGAGCTGTGCCCAGTTCTTCAAAAGTGTTCTGAGCCTTCTATTAACAAAGTGAAAGCTTGAAAAGCATTCAGCAGCCAGCACGGGTCAGTGGATGAGATACAGAGCTCTGAAGAGCCATGGAAGATTTCTTGAAAGGATTTGTTCAAGTCTATCAATACCTGATAAAACTTGAACCTGAACTCCTCTCATGATCCGTGTGTTAGTTATATGTTTGGTATTTGCAGATGCAGTTGTGAGGACAGGCTCAGTTTTTTATAGTTAAGTAATTTTTATGCTTTGATACGGTGAGATGAGGTGAGATTGAAGTGGACCAACTTTCAAAGAGCTTGCCAGATAAAATGTTGTTGATCATTTGAGGTTCATTTCACATGCATCAGTGACCGAACTAGGGCAGTTCCTAGAATTGATCCATGCCAGTCTCTTAAATTCTAATAATCTTGAAATTTTTTTTTTTTTAAACATTTCTATTATCCTAGATTAGGTTTGAGTGGAAACGTGTGCAGTGGTTCCTATTACAAGGATGTCCCTTCTACTCTCGCCTCACCCCAGAATGCTGAAATACCTTTCTTTGGAGGACAGGGGATCGCGTGGGGATTTCTGATGGCTTTCATCTGTGTTTTCTCCACAGTGACTTCATTCTGGTTGCTCTGTCTGTTGTGTAGATGTTGTAACGCCACAAAGTGGGGAGAGTAATAGACTGGCATTTTCTGTATTCCTAGACGGCGAGGTAATGGTTGATGATGACTCTCAGCAACTCAGTACGTGGGACTGCAGAGACACTGGCCTTTGGGTCTGACTTTGTCCCAAAATGCCTGTGGCCTTTGTGTGGGATGATTCTTACATCTATAGCTGCAGAGCACTTACCTGTGTCTCCGAAAGGAAGTGCATTAAGTTCAGTTTTTATCTTGCCTCGATATTCATTATAGGTGTTTAAGAGTCTTTCAAAGTGGCTGTCCATTTTTAGTTTGCAAATAAATTATTTTCAGGCAGATAGCCACCATCTAAGCATACGAGCTCTGTCACAGCATGTTATCCCACTGTGTAAAAATACCTCCTAAAACTACAGTAGAAACAGAACGAAGCAGCAAGTTGAAACATGAAGTAAAACATGCTAACCATTACTCTTTGATATGTTTTTCCTTATGCTTTACAGGAAGGGAAAGCTTTTTGAATACTTCAGCTTCAGACTTTTGTGATAGCTTCTCCACCTGCCTCTTAGGGCTGAGTGAAAGCCAGAAAGTCAGAGGTGAGTGAGGAAGATAGCAAGGCAAAAGCAAAGGCCACAGCAGAAGCGATTCAGATATGTCACACCACAGGCTGAAGCTGCCTACTACAGAAGGTTTTTGAGTCATTATGAAAAGAGGAAGTGTTAATCATGGCAGTGATTAAACGGTAAATGGGGATAAAGGCCAGAGTCAGAGACTTTGGCTGCAGAAAATTTGGGTTCTGTTGCCATCAACCTGTCAGCCTGTAGCTTGCTCCCTCTTGTGCTTTCTACCCCTACCCACCAATCTTCTGTTTGGAGTTTCTGGTCTAATCTTGGAACATCATGGCTATAAAAAAGCTAGAAGGGACCACTATGGGTTCTTGGTACTGAACCAAATTGTTGTCTAGACCTTGGTTAGATGACTGGATAGTGAGCAGAGTAAGCCCTGGAAATGAAGGAAAAAGATGGAATACAAGCAGTTGGCAACAGTTATTTTATTCTGTGTTGGCATTTGGGTGATTTCTTTTTTTTTTTAAATCCTTCTTCATTAAGTTACATTTTTTGTCTCCATGGAGGCAGTAAAGGAACTAACTTTGCAAATTAAAACCAAGATATTCTCAGGACCAGGCTATAGTGCAGTGAGATGAAGTGTTTGAGAGGTTAGATCTACCACTCCTAGCAACGTGTTGTCGTGTTTCCTTTCCCTGGTGGTTATTTTACCTGGAATTGACTGTTCAGTGGTAGACAAGGGTTTCTAGTATAGCTGAAGACTTATCAAACCCGGGGTCTGGGGTAGTTGCCTTTTGGCTTCAGTTGGTTAAAGGTCCTGTTCCCCCTCCCCAGCTGATGGCTGCAGATGTACTGGTTGTGGGAGTGTCATCTGCGCCTGGCAAACCTGTTGGCACCACAAACCTGTATAAACAGGTCAACTTCTGGTGGTTGATTTCTACTGAAATGGCTTTGAGATGTAATGGCTTAAGACACCTTTGCTATCTAGGTGGAACTGTTGATGAGAAAAGGCTGGAGAAGGTAACCTCAGCTGGGTTGGTAGCTGTGTCTTTGTGTGCTACCACTGCCTGTTGTGAAAGTCTCTGTAGCCTGAACTCTGTCAGGGTTGTGCTTTGAATGGCTACCTCTTCTTTGGCTGAAATGAGGCAAAACGTTTCAATTTTCCACCCAAATATAACAATGCAGAAATGTAAGTCCAGTGGAAATTAAACAAAAAAAACCCTACTTATCTTGTTCTACAGCTCGTATAGCAGAAGACAGTACATATTGTATTCTGTGACGTTAATTCAAGTAATGTGAATCACTGGCCAACTGTCTCGTATGAAATAATTTGTGAAAGTTTGAGGCTTGAGTCAAATTTTACATGTATTCTTTTCATTAGATATTTATGCAAACATTCAGGAAACATCCTGAGATGAGGTGCATTTCCCATTCAATTTATATGGTCGTGTATTATTTTGGTAAACCTTTTCTTTACCCCCAAATTTGACCAAGAAGAATCCTGAACTCCAAAACTATAATTTGACAACCCTTAGAGTGGCAGCCATTAATTGCTGCTAGCAGACCCAATGGTTCTTACGGAGATGTGATTAAGTATATCATAACCTTTTTAAATCACATGGAATCTGAAACTTTCACTTTGGAATAAAAACAAACACTTTCTGTTGCACACAACTTGAAATTGGAAGCATTTCCTTTCTAAGTGTAGTAGTAGCCCCTTAGATGATTTTAAATACTAAACTACTGGTCAAGGAACTGTATCGTTAGGCTATTTCAAAATTTGAGTTGATTAAATTGCGGCAAAGGTTGTAAATCTGTGGATGATATTAAAAGCTCTGTCGTGGTATTAAAGAATAGCTGTTAATACAAGGATTTGTACTTACGCTTATTGTGTACTAGAACTATGAATGCTAATTCCAAGCTGTCTAATCTTGGCGAGGGGTGATGATGGTGGTGTGGTTGCTCAACAGCTATTACTAAACAGATGAGCACAGTTTTTACCCTGCCTCCAAACTCTGGTTTTGCAGGTTCTTGGAAAGGTTACTTTGGCTTGCTGCATTTGTCACAAATTCATTTAATGCACAGATTGAAATATGGTTTCAGCTGCTTTATGTAGATGAATAAGAGTAGACTTGGAGTAGATAATAAATAAAAGATTGCTTTTATATAACAATCTCAAAGCAGTAGGCCAAGCTAATGGAGTACATGGATGTTAAAGACCATACTGTTTATTTCAACTTGGTAGGTAGAAAATTGACGAGCATCTTCTACCTGTCCCCCATTGACTAGTAAATTATGCCTGCTGTGTTCGAGAGCATTCAGTAGTTTTTTAGTCCTGAAGTTCTTTATTTGGGAGACAATGCCTTCCTTTTCTTTTGAAAAGTCTTACTGACTACTTTCTCTCTTTTTCAGGTGCTGGAGTTCTTTGTGGCACTGAACTTGTCCTTGAGTATATTTTGCTCAATGCAACTATTTGAAATGTTTGTACAGAAAAACTAAGTGCAACTGACTGTTTCTACAGACTTGAAAAATCAGAAGAAATAGTTCAAGAAACCTCATTCAGTCACTGAGAGAACCAATGGATACACGTTCAGTGATGTCTGAACACGGACAAAAATGAAAAAGAAATAATCTTTTGCTTGTGGAAAACAATTTTTTTTCCTGGCAGAGGTTTTTTAGCTTAGCAGACTTGCAAGCACATGTTGGAGAACTTTACAAGTGTCCTTATTGTGATCAGTGAACATCCCCCAAAGAACTGAAACCTTACATTAAAACACGTAATAGGGAACAGAACGTAGGAAACATGCCAACTCAGCCTCTCTTGGCATACATGGATGGACCGGATGGAATAGCCAGTACCGTTGGTGCACAGATGGAGAATAATGATGCCTCAATGACAATAAAAGGAACAAATACCATTTCTTACAAAAGCTTGCAAGAAAAGTTTCTCATGCAAGCTGAGGGATGTATGCCTCTGGACTGCATGTTTTGTGATGAGACTTTTAAACATCCTGAAGAACTTGGTAAGCATGTTTTAACTCAACATAGGCCCACTCTTTGTGAACCAGCTGTCCTGCGTGTCGAAGCAGAGTACCTTAGTCCTCTAGATAAATGTCAAGTAAGAACAAATTTGCCTTCTCCAAACAATGAAAAAGACAGTGAAGAACTTAGTTGTGAAGTTTGTGGACAAACATTTGATGAGGCTTTTGATGTTGAGGCACACATGAAAAAGCATAAAGATTCCTTCACATATTGGTGTAATGTATGTGGAAGAAGATTTAAAGAGCCGTGGTTCCTCAAAAATCACATGAGAACTCATACTGGAAAGCCAGGTTCTAGAAACAAGCTCCAACAAGGTTCTGAAAGCCCCATAACAATAAATGAGGTGGTGCAGGAGCATGTAACTGAAAATATAACATCACCTTACAAAATTTGTATGGTTTGTGGCTTCCTATTTCTCAATAAAGAGACTCTAATCGAGCACAGTAAAGTGCACACCAAAGAATCAGTACCCAATGGTGAAAGTCCTCAATTGACTGGTGAATCTAATCCAGAAGAAACAACTCAAAGAGAAGAATTTTTGCGATTCTTGAATTTGAGACCAAACTCGGTTTCAGAAAATGACAAATCACAAAAACCTGTGAAATGGATAGCTGAACTAGATCCATTCAATACATATCAAGCATGGCAGCTGGCTACCAAAGGTAAAGTTGCAGTTGGGCATGGCCAAATTAAAGAACCCGGGCAAGAAGGAAGTACAGATAATGACGATTCCTCTTCTGATAAAGAAGAACTTGGTGAAATATGGAATGCAAGTAAAGGTAGCCAGACTGAAAATACAGGGAAGTCAAAAGTAAATAAAAACAGCAGTTATACAGGGAATAGTAACTTATCCCAAGACAAATTGAAACATCCCAGTGGTGAAGTGCCTTCTATGGAGATGGATTCTAAATTATCCCAGAACAAAGAGAAACCGACACACTGTTCAGAGTGTGGTAAAGCCTTCAGAACATACCACCAGCTAGTCCTTCATTCCAGAGTGCATAAGAGAGACAGGCGGACTGATGGAGAGACTTCAGCTGCTTCAAGGACGTGCTGTAATGATATAATGGCAAATCTGGATGAAAATGGAGCAACAGAGCGAATGGAAGGAGGGTCTGAAGATGGGTCTGAAGATGGCCTTCCTGAAACACTTAATCTAGGTGAGCAGCATTTTTGAGACATGGGATTGAACTAGCTGTTGCTATACAGTTCAGGAGCTGTTTAAAGCCAAAAATGGATCTTGTCTCTTAGATAAATTTTTCAAAACTTGCCCTGAGATATAAAATGCTATGGTGGGAGAAGGGGAAAAGAGGAAAGAGAAGGAAACAATTGTCCGAACAGCAATGTTTTCAGATCTTTGAAGCTGTGTTGGGCCTTCTTGCAGTTATGATTTGGGTTTCTTGAATAATTGAAATACTTTTAACAATAATCTGTCTAGAAAAAGTCTGCCTTGTGTCTCCCCCCCCCCACCTGTAAGATTCATAGTTTTACTGAATATATCAGTTACATTCTTGTCCAGCACATGATTTTACAAGTAATATTTCTGAAGTCATTGCATTTTTCACACTTTATTCTGCATCTTGTAAGAAAGGGCAGAAAAATGTCCAGTGCTCAAGATTAGCGGCTGTTGGGATCCTGAGAAGTGAAGAATAATTCAAAACTTTTTTCTCTCCATCTGCAGGTTGCATGCTTATTTTGAAGGGAATGTAAATTGAAAGGCTAAATGCAGAACAAACAACTTTAAATTAGTTGTGTAAGGGCATGCATATAGGTTATTAATATGTGGACACTATATGTAAGAGGAATATATTTAACTATTCTTCCTTGAAGGATTGCTAGCAGTTCTCTCTGACAGAATAGATGGACTCAATCTATGTTACTCAGGACTAATTTTGAATCTCACTGTCTCTGGAAAAATGTGATACTGATGCTAAATGATTCCTTAATTGAAAAAGCTTGCATGTCTGGGGACAAAATGGAGTAGCAAAAAGACATGTAGCTAATCTAGCACTCTTGTGTGTGACACGCTTTGAGTCTGCCTTTAAAGAACAGACACTTGCATAATCTCAAGAAAAGACATAACGTACAGAATGTCCTGGCACGCACGACCGAGTTTTCCGTTTCTGGTAATGTGCAGCCCTTTATTTTGCCTCCAGTAATAAAGGAATAAAATCATTACCTAATGTTAGCTTCTTGTTTTGTTTCTTGGTCTTGTCCAAAACGACAACAGCTCTCATTGTGCGATGCTGAGTCATGCTTATTGAGACATTATCTGTTTGTTTAAAACAGCTATGGCTCTTCTTAGCCAGAGTTTAGCCATGCTTAGCATTTCCAGTATGGAAGCTTTCCAACACACAGGAACTGTAGAGAACCATTTTAAGCTGTCTGTCATGGCTTTTAACATCTTAGTCAAGGAAAATGTTTCCTTCTTTCTATTCTCACTGTAGTGTTCTAGTTAGCTTTGACTTGGGTATTTTACTTAAGTTGTCTTGATGTCTTTACAATTCAACCTGCCAAAGAAATCATGTTGATTTGACTGGTGCCTTGTGTGGAAGTTTTTTCCACTTTCTTCTTAGACATTATGCTGTACTTGCCGCCCTCCAGTGGTAATTACTGCTGCTTACACTTGAGTGAAAACTTTTTTTTATCTGTGAATTTGTTCCTTGAAAACGTGCCTCACAGAACTAGCAACCCAGACACTTTCCTGTTTGTTGAAGCTTAAGCATTCATGCTTCTAGTGAAAGATTGCTCATCAAAGCTAAGGTGGCGGTTAAACAGGCGAGCAGTCCATTGATTAGCACTGAATTTTATTATAACAAAGAAAAGAATCAGTCTTTCTCCCCACCTTCCTTCTGCAGAACAAGTCCCTGTGTTGTGTCAGGGTGCTCAGAGCAGGTTTGCAGTCCAGACGATGCACTGATTGAAGCATTTCCCTTAAGATAAGATAAGCTTATAACCTCCATGAAGTTTTGACATAGGCCATTCTCTGCTGTAGATCATTAAAGATAATTGGATGTTTTTTCTTCTTTGAGGCCTAGTTTTACATCTTGTTTGTTCTCTGGGGCTTCTTCATTTCAGTCACTAACCGCAGTGTTACTTGACACAGTTGGAAACCTACTTAACTATTTGGCTTTCTGATCAAGTGTGCATCAGTGCTGAGCCAAAGATGCTCACAGGCTGTAGGAGCTGACAATGGTTCATCATGCTGTGCTTTTTCCTTAATACAGTTAAGACAGTTGTTTATAGTTTTGAAAGGGACTACAGACTTGCATTTGCTCTTCGTAATATAGCTATATTTTCTCCCAAAGATAAAAATGAAGATGGTTTGGAAAGAGCAAAAGTTAAAAACCTTGGAGCCTCCAGAGAATGCAGCTATTGTGGAAAGTATTTTCGCTCAAATTATTACCTCAATATTCATCTCAGAACTCATACAGGTAAATGGGTTTCAGCTTTGTGGGAGGGGAAGAAAGTCTGCTGAATCCAATAGGACAGAATATTTGGTTTTGCTTAAGAAAAACATAAGTTACCTTCACAATTTCTGGTGTTTAAAAAGTTTTCTCTAATGCCGAGAAAGTTCCAATTACAATTAATTCATTATTTACCTAAATGTAAATCTTTCTGAATAAGGCTAATTCTATTATACTCTGAACAACATGTATTGTGTTTTAAAATTTAGAATTCTTTCTGCTTTTGGCAGTCTAGCAAAAAGTTTGTTTTAGACAAACAAAAAAACACCTCTACCTTCCAAGTATTAAGTTGTTTTTTTGCTAGTTGCTACTACCTGAGGAAAAAGTTGTCTATTCCTCAGTTTGCTTGGCTAAGGAAAAGTTAAACTCTTCCTACTTCTGTTAATACGTGCCCATGTTTCTTTTGAAACAGCTCTATTTATAGAAGAACTGTAACGTTTGTGTTGTTGAATAGCATGCTTGTGGTATGATCAAGGGCTACAAATTGTTGGAGTTGACCCACAGCTGTACTTCGTGCTTATCTCTGCCAAACATATTGTCAGCTACCATCTCCATACATAGGGAACATGTGGAAAATATCTTCATCAGAACCAGAAGATGTCACTGTAGTTAGCAAAAGTAGTGAGATGTAGTAGTTTAAATGACTTAGTTTGAGATTTAAGTTTATGTGAAAGGTGAAAGAAAAAGCTATTTTACTGTTGTAAGATATAGACTATTCCCTTGTCTTTAATTGTATTCAAGATTTTAAATCAATTTGCATCCAACTGATTTACTGATAAAACTGTGTTTCAGGTGAAAAACCATACAAATGTGAATTCTGTGAGTATGCAGCAGCACAGAAAACTTCACTGAGGTATCATTTAGAGAGGCATCACAAGGACAAGCAAGCTGATAGTGCAGCAGACGTGAAAGGTGACAGCAAAGTTTCGTTGCAGAGTCAGGAGACGGAGCTCTTGCTGGCTGCTGATGGTGCTCAAGAAACCAAAAATTTGAAGAGGCTTTTTGATGGTGCCAAAGATGCTGAGGGCTGCCCACCTGCAAAGCAGCAAAAGGAAATTCTGTCCTTGAATAACGCAATAGGCAGCACAGTCCTTATAAGAATGAAAAATGATTCTAGGGAATTGAACAAACGTTCAATTTGTAACAATTTGAATCAAATGCATGAGAATATGTCTGCTCCTTACTTGGAAAAACTAAAGACTGAGAAGGAGACAAAGGAAGTTCAGCCCTGTGCT